AGGGAAAAAATAAGAAAGGAAAGGAGAAAAAAGAAAAGAGGTGCTTTCCTATTGCCGTATAGTATATATGGATATGTATATGCGTATTTTTGTTCTTTTCTTCTGTTCGCACGCGAACGTGCGCGTTCGTCGCCAGCAGAATCCATGGATAGAACGGTGAACGGGGCAATAGAGTAATTGAAAGTTACCGTTAAGGTTTCGCCATTCGGTTCTCTCCACCGATGTGAATTAGAATCCCTTATCCCTTGTTACCGCGTGAATCTGAAGAGCTCCTGGGATTTCATCGAGAACTTTGATGGATTAAATTCTTGGGAAATTTGAAGATTGAAGGCTGATCGAAGATTTCGTGATTCTTTCCTTCATGATGTTATTAGCATGTTAGAACATCGTGAAAAGCTTGGAATTTTTAATGTAGATTTACCTATACTGTATCCCTTGCAAGATTATTTTCAATTCGATATATTTTCTTTTTATCATTAAAAAGTTCCTGAATTTTTAAATATTGTTATGTGTGATTTCTCCTTTCAATTTAATGTGAAAGTTTTTCTTAAGACGTTGAATTTCTTTAATTTTGGTCAAACGAGATCAAAATAATTGATAATAAATTTTAATTGTAAAACGTAGCTAAATTAATAGATTAAACTGTAAAAAATACACACTTACATATATGCTGTACGTATATCACTTGTATAATTTATGCTTACGTCAATCAGAATTTTAACGCAAAATAAAAGCGTAAAGATCTTTCATTGAAACGTGAGATTAATTTTTTTCGCGCATAAAATATTCTCTGTGAATATTCGGATGATAAATGAGAGAAAAGTTTACATTGTCTCGAGTGTGAACAGAACGGTTAAATATCCCCTAGAACCGAGCTAGGAGTCGATCAACTGTGAGTATCGATTTGTATCGATACCCATCGAACCCTCTCGCGTCTAGCCAGGTATTAACAATAGCTTGAGCTAATGACTACCGGAGACAAGGGGTGACATCGTCCGAAATTCCCCATCTGTTTCAGCCACTAAATCTTCCCATGATCATACGTGCGCGTCCTAATCGATTATGGGCTTCTGTTTATGGGGTAAGTGCCGGGAATAGGAGTCGAAACATCCCCTTCGTGAAACTGCGACTGGTCGCTTCCTTTTTCCGGTGGAAACATATTTTACTTATAGGACTAAATCACGTGTTTTTCTCTGAGAATTCTTTCTTATTCTATCTTCAAAGTAGTTCTGGAATATTAAATTTGATGAACGAGTGATTTTTTTTTTTCAAATCTTTTTCGATTCCTAGAATATCGATGTTAATGTAAATCAAAACTTCGATTCTTTTGTCAGCGTGAAATTCAACTCTATCATCTCTTAATGTTAATTTCTCCTAAATTCAACACAAAATTTACTAATAAAAGAAACTTTAATCGTATCAATTGTTTTGTCAACACTAGCATTAACAATTATTCTTAATGAAAGACATATATACATATATACGTGATAGACATTTCCCTTGATACGTTATTTATTTACAAAATAAAGAAAGCAAAAACCCCCAGCAAAGATCAACTATTCCCTTATCCCCAATATCTAGCCACACATCCCCCGATTGAAAAGACTCGGCCGGAGATCGGAGAGAGACGATCACAGACAGTCAGAACGAGAAAAGAAGGTGGGAAGAGGGGACATACACCGGTTGTCTTGGAGGCCTTTGGACAACGGCGGCCGTAATAAGAATAGATGGCTTCCCTCGATTCTTGAATGGTCGACTATTAGCAACGAGCCGTACGGGCGACAATGAGGCCCGACAAACTGATAAATTATACCACGGGCGTATCCGCCGGTGCACCGGCCGCAGGTAAATAGAATTAATCACGCTATAGAAGCAGCGCGACGCGACCTACGAGCGCGAGCTACCAGCCAATATAACAACGTGACTACACATTTTCACCCAGGGAGACAGAACTCTTTCGTTTCTTCAAAGATCCAACCATTTCAATCGCACCGTCCTTCGCGTAAGAGACAAGAAAAGATGTAAGAAAATCGAGACACGAATGGTGGGTTGGACGATGAACGCCTCACTACTTGGCAATTTTTAAAAACAAGAATATTATACAACTGTAGACTGAGGGATTTCAAATTAAAAATCTTGCACGAAACTTCGTTAACTAAAATAATTACTATATTTCGTTAAAACAGTTTGGTTGATAGATTGTACAAACTTTGAAGAATGGTTTAACTTTTAAGTTAAAAATTGGGATAATAAGATAATAAGTAGGCCAAAAGTGATAACAATTACTTTTCTTGTTATCTTTTTAGCAAAATATAATATATCTTATCGTGTGAAGACATAAAAATGTTCACAATTATCGAAGGATACAAAGGAACTTTAAACACTTCTGTAATTACTCCTTTTTATTTAACGTTAATAATTATCAACAATAATAATCGCAACTATATGTACACAAGTATTTTGTCATATGTTTCACACATAATATTTTTTTTCTAAAGTCCCAGCGTGGGTCACGCCGTCAATTCCATCGTTCACATTTCAAAGACTAGAAACAAGTTGTACTCGTCGCACAATTGATAGATTTATTCGATCTCGTCAAACACTCAAAGCGAACCGTTCAATGTTCTCTTTATCAGCAGTCAGACATTCTAACAATAAGCACTTTTGGTTGATTTCCAATAACACTGCACACGTTTCTCGCATACCCTGACAATTCTTAAAACTTCCTCACGATTGCATTAAGCGCGCAACACGTACGTGCAACACTGCTCATTCGACTTGGCTCCATCGAAATCCCTGCTAACAACACACCATACAATCATTTCAACCGTCAACGCGGCGCAATTCGCGCGCAAAATCCAATCGCTCTCTGCTCGAAGCCCTCGGCTCTCAGAAAGTAAATCCTGGCTTTTTTGAGCGGGCGAACGCCTCGTCATTCCACCAATTAACTCTTCACGAGAGATTCGAGCGTCGCCGGCCATTATCAGAGAATTCTAAACGCGGAAAGAACAACAGCAAGACGTGTCGACTGCGTTACACGACGAAATTGCAGTGAAATCGTTGCCACTTTACTTTAATCTACTAAAAATTATCACCAAGCAATATATATCCGTGTAATATAAAATATTTTAAAAATTAGCATTACTGCGAGGCTCGAAGGTTACATTAAGTTTGAAATAAATCTAAAAGAAGCATTGCGTCTGAAATGTTTCCAAGCTTCTATGTACCTTTCCTAGAATATTGTGTTACGTGTTTCAAATTCAGTAAAACGTCTTCTGATACTTTTAATCACCTTTCATTGTCCTTTAAGATAGATTTAAATCTTCAAAATATTTTTAAAAAAACTTTGCCAAGAATTCTTGTGACAGATAAATTAAAATTTATCAAACTCAACCGAATCATTCTTCGCGATTGTTTTTTTAAGTATCTTAACAATCCAACTGCCATTGTACGAGACCTAGAACAAATATTTTCAAATTTCAAAGCTCCTATTAAACGTGTAAAATTACCAATATTATATTTCCAATTGCATATAAATTCGAAACTCCATTATGAAACATAGACACCGGTCCTACAAAAAGGAAACCCCAAGAGTCGAAGACGCAACGGGGAAACCGATGAGCCATGAAAGGTTCGAAACACCTTTGTACACTGTTGAATAAAGAACACACCGTGAAAAACAATTTATTAGCCATTGGTGGGAACAATGTCAATTTGTTGAGGTCCCAGTGTCTCCCTCCTCTTCACAGACGCGTCTTTTATCATTCATCGAGGACTACGAACGAAAGAGGGAGAGAGAGGCTAATTCATGGTGATTCGTAGCTGCATTGACCCGGTATCGATCACTTTCGATTCGATTTTATGCGATTAGCCACGGTGCACGTCGTTCTAAACGTAGCTATAGGGAAAAGTCCCTTTTTACCGGTGGCAGCGTCGGAAACTTTTCGGATTCATGACACTTTTTTCCCCATCTCTTCACGTCGATCAACTTCGTGGAGTAACACGGAAGGGCTGATGACAAAAAAGAAAAAAAAAAAAAAAAAAAAGAAAACGCTCGTTGCAACGAAGGGAAGGTTCGGTACCTTTCTTTCTCCTTTTTTTGTCTGGAGGCAGGGTGCAATTTGGGGATTGTGGAAAATAAAGTACGTCACGGGGTCGGTATTTACCTGCGCGTGACTCTAATTTGATATTAAAGCATCTTTGCAAATATTTATTTTACTTGATGTTGGAATTATTGAACAAGATAGGGAAAATTAACGAAACATGAAATGTTAAAATGTAAAAATTATCGAAACAGTATTTTTACAAATTTACATTAATCATTTACATTACCGGTGGTCAACAAGTTCTACTAAGAATTTACAACCGCCGAAAATCACCGATCGTAACATAATTGAAAATGGCTAACTAACTAACGTATGTAACAGCAAATCAATTACCTTCATATTTTTCCATTACGATCATAGACAATTGTGTCTCGCTACAATGCCAATGAAATTTCAGAAAGCTTCGCGTAACGCGCGCGATTCATATTCATTCAAAAATGTCACTCCACTATGTCTGATTAACTTCCCAACGTTAAGCAAAAAGAAACATATTTTATTCTCCGGTCTATATCTCTTTTCTAACTTGCCACCAATCTCAACATAATACCTCAAGCAAATCCCAACGAGCCACCGCACCGTTCAAGCCTTGTGAATTTCACATGGAATCTTCGACTAAAAAACACCGTACCCCATCATCCCCGTCGGGTTTACTTTCTATTTGTACACGCCGCCATTGTGGCCGCGTTTGTCGCCTGGTTCCCTGGCTTGCTTCTTGGCACGAGTGTGTGCCCGCGAAAGGCGAAAGGAGAATGAAAATATTATTGCTCGATCCGCGTGCGCGTCATGCATAAATGCATCGATCGCGGCGGTTTCCTCTCTCACTCTTGCTCTTTCCCTCCGTCTCCTTGTCGCCTCTCGCGGCAGCCAGCAAGCGGCTGTACAAACAACGATATCCACAATGTTCGAGTTACAAGCAACGGATTAGTAATCGTGCTCTGTCTTGCGTATGCGTTATACGTATTCTTTCCCTACACTTTCTGTCGCTCGTTCTACTGAATGTTCTCGCTCTTCGAGCGATTTCAAGAAATTCGAACAGAAATTCGGGAATATCGAGAACGAACTTGTGTTCAGCAGCGGTACAGAATGAAATACCGATGATTAAAGCTGAAAATTTCTATGGAAATAAAAATAGATCACAATAGAATGAACTTTCTGAATATTTTACGAAAAATCTCACCTATAAAATTTCACGTCTATAAGATATCTAAGAATTATAGATTGATCATACTTTGATAACTTTCATGGTTCTAGGCTAAATTATATTTAACAAGACCAATGAATAGATATAATATACATATATTAGAATATCAGTATCAATTAAAGAATCGGTATCAATTCAAAGAAACATTTCTTTCTGCCTGCCATTGTAAAAATTTCCAAGATTTCATATCCGCGAAGATCCTCAAAATTACTGATTATATTTTTTATTGCCAATCACACTTCGAAAGAATACCCATCGAGTCGTCACATTTCTAACAAGAAAGAGTTCAAAACGTTTCCCCAAGCTTTCAAGTTTGTTCAACATCATTGCCTCGTAACTAAAAATTTCGCGAAGCAAATCGGAGTAACGTAGTGCCAACAAAACTGCAATTAACGAAAACGAGCAATGACATCAAATTCAAGACAAGAAGAAACGGAAGGAGAAACGGCGAAAAGATGAAAAATGGTATAAACCGAAAAGAAACGGAGAAACGTTGGCGAATATACAGAAGGAGGGATGCATCAACAGGGATGCGAAGGAGGAAAGAAAGAAAGAAAATGGCAGGCCGAGCCCAGAAGCCTTCTCTGAAGGGAAGACAAAGGGTGAGCAGAGAATTAAAAGTATCGTGGACAAAGCCGCGGGACAAGACGCGGGAGCTCATTTGGTGTCTACCGGTGAATGGGCGTTCATTATGATGCCTCCCGGACTAACAATCGGGTTCATTTTGTCTCTCCTGCTCGTGGCAACAATGCTGCCCGGTCTGGAGGAGGTGAAGGTTACCGGGAAGAGGGACAGAGAGAAGACAGTTGGGCAGGAGGTGCCGTTTCTCCACCGCTATAACCACCGGCAGAGAGATCTGTCCCTCTCTCCTATACCGCCATCTTGACTCTGGGCCGCGATGTTCTTTTGTCGAGTTCACTTCGAGCAGCCCCGGGCAAGAAAAAGACGCCGCCGGCCTCCGTCGACGAAAAGGGAGGAAGCCACCGGACGAACCACGCGGTGGTAGAGAAAGAGCTGGACCGATTCGAGACTGCGAGAACCAGAGGCGGAGTGAGCTGGAGGAATGGGAGTGGAGTGAAAAACTGGGTACAGAAAGAAACGAAAAATACAAGGGACAGAAGGAGAGGAAACGTCGGGGAAGTGTAACGAGAAAAGATCGAAATAAGAGGAATATATGTGTGTGTGTGTGTGTGTG